TTTCCAATTCGCTTCAAAGTAATATCACTTTCTGAATATAATGTATTACTCTGAAGCCGCACGACTCAAGATCCTTCCTTTTCAATCTTAGTTTTCACCTCTTCAGCTTTGGGTTTCATTTTCTGAGCAGCTGTTTTACTTTTATCTGCTGCCTCATATGACAGTTTTCCAGTTTTTCTGGTGACCTTACCATTAGGCGAGACTAATTTGACTTTGTCAGTGGCTTTGAATGTAGGGGAAATCTTGTTTGGCAGCCGATTTTGTGCTAGTTTCTTGGGACTTTCTTTCATCGGAAGCCGGCTTTCCCAAGGCCGAGCAGCAATCCACCTGTCCATCCAACTCCATCCCCAATTTTCCTTACTAAATTCGAGATTGGTTGACCCAAATCCCGGGCTCGAGTTGGCCCTCCACTGTTGAGAATTTATCAAATTATTATTTATGTTTTAAGTGCGGCAAATTAGACCACTCACATTGAAAAAAAAAATGAAATGTCGAAATCTCCACTAAATCAAAATTCAGCCAGACTAAGGTTGTGTTTGGTAAGCACATAAGCTAGCTTATAGCTTATTTGATTAGCTTATAAACTTCCTGTATTCAAATAAGCTTGGTTTGGTAGGAATAACTTTTTTAAAAAGCTCGAACTTATCTCATAAGCTTTGTTGGATAGTTTTTCAAACAAACTCATTGAAAATTTTATTTCAGCTAGTTTATCAACTAATTTTACCAAACACTTTTACCATATAAGCTAGTTTTTCAGTCATAAGTCAAAAGATATCAGCTATAAGCTCGAAATTCACTTAAAAGCTATAAGCTAGCTTCTCAGCTAAGTTTATACCAAACATAGACTGGTCTTAAAAAATGCTACCTGATGGGTAAAGGCATATGCCATGGCCCGTTCACGCCTAACAGCGGCTTCTTCTCTCTGATGAATTTTCGCAAGAGCTTGGCCAGCTGATTCAGCGCCACCTGTCCACTCGACCTGCCACATGTTTCATTTTAAGATTTATTTTTTAAAATAAGCGACAAGAATCAAATCTTTTCAAGTCCTTCCTGTATATTTTTCAACATAGAGTTTACCTCAAGATCGTGAAGCTTGGCTTCTAGCTTCAATTGATTCTCCATCTTTTTCTGCCTGAGCTGACCTTCAGCAACCATGTGAACTCGACGTGCTCGAATCTGAGCCTGAATTTTGGTCCATGCATGCAGATGACTCATAGTGGACGAGGCTTGCTTTTTCACTGAATCATGTTGCATAAATTTCTGTAGCCTTGACTTTCCTCTCAATTTGCGGAAGTTTTTCCTTGCCTAAAAAACAGGAATCCAGGTACAAAGTCAACTCCGAGACTTCAGTTATAGAAATGAAGTTCGAAAATCCAAAGTCAACTCCGAGACAAAAATAGCGAAGCAAATGGCATACCACATGTGCTCGGTATGCAGTCTGAATTCGGACAGCAGCAAAATCTTCCTTGGAGAGAGCCTGATTATCTGCAGGGGCACCATTGACTAGTACTGTGCACCCTTTTACTGAGAAGGGTTGTTCTTTATCGCCATTTATTCTTCCGGGTGCTGAATATCTCTGTTTGAAAATATCGAGAAAACAAAACCAAAAGTTGCAGATATGCAGATATTCAGATATATGCAGTAACATTTCACTTTTCAGTAATGCTCCAATATTTTGAATACTAAGAAAAGCTTATAGAAAACAGTTTTGAAGCAAAAATATAAAAATACTATCTGCAAAATAGATGGAGGGACCATAATAACTCAGCAAAAATCGAGCAAGCTAGTTTATATATGATTTTAATTCTGGGAGGTAGGCAAATCAGTGCTCTAAAGACTAAAATCATCAAATTTCGGAACTTATGCAGAAAAGATCAATTCGATAGTTGAAACATATAACAATAATTTATCCACAACAGACATAAATAAACTCTCTTCAATAAGTCACTCGAGTCAATCATCTTCAACCCGATTACAAAAATACCATAATATCATAGTGGCAGTGTTACAATGTAACATATTTAGAAAGAGGATAATAGAAAGCACGGTTTTCAGAGATTCGAACCTTCAGTTTATGCGATCCATCTCCTTTCACTTTCTTTTTGCTAATTATATTCTTGAACCAAACTCTTGAACCCATTCACAATGTTCAGTACAGATAACTAATATACACTGCCTGCATAAGTCGCATTTTACATCAGTATAGTAAAAAAATACAAGAAACAATAGTTGGGGTTTNATGAAATGTAAACCAAACAAAAACTATTCATATATTTCACCAAACATTCCCCAATTTCGAATATACCAGCTAAAGAGTGCATCATATCTGAATAACACATCAATTATAGTGACAAAAGTGTTGTAACTCATCAAATTAAGGAAATGGTGAGTCCATAGATCTACAAGAAGACAAACTAGATTAGGCGGTAATAACTAACTTAATCTGCAAGAGTCCATTCCAATTCCCACCCCATTATCCTCCCAGATACGCTTAATCAAATCAATAATAGGAAATATCTTCAATTTGACCTTAGTTACTTGCCAATTCTAAACAAAAAACAAGCTTTGGGTAATAAAAGATTAAAATAAAGTCAAATTTTGGATCCTCTCAAGATTCATTGAAAGCTACTTATTTCTCTTGCTTGAAGCATTTACAGGCACATCAAGAAACAGTCTTGAAATCAAGCAAAACAAGAATTAAAGGGCAAATAGAAGAATCTCACTTACCAGAAAAGAAAAAGTTGACCTACACACTGATATTCAGCTTAAAACCCCCACACCTCCCTATTTGGNNAAGTAACAAAGGGATGAGAAAAAAGAAAAGCAAATGCAATGATTATAAAGAGTATGAGTAGCAAATAAGAAATTTGAATGCATATAAACATATATATGTGTGGGTGTGTGCAGAGACTTGAGATGGAAGGTAGAAAATTTGAAAGGGCGGAGAGCAAAAAGTGAGGGCGTGATTGTATATAATTTGTATGGGAATATCCCACTCAAAATTTAAATTTAACTCAAGTTTAATTCAATTTCATTATTTCTAATATTATTAATATAATTAAATATTATCAACCAATCATTATTACATATCACATCAACTTTAATTCACTATTCACCCACTCATATAATTTTAACTAACCATCACTTTCAATCATTTTCTCATACTTTTACATCAAATTAACTTTAATTATTTTAATTTAATTATTATTTTAATATATCCACTAACAACTAACCATATTATTTTTTTTAAATTAATTATAATTAAAAAAAACTTATTTTTTACTAATTGAATTCATATCCAATCATCCCTTAAGTAGTTTTGCCGATATTTGTCATGGCCCCAGCTGCTGATGACCTCAAAAGAAAAGAAAAGAAAAGAATAATAAAAAAATAAAAAAATAAAAAACTTGACCAAAAAAATAATATCAGCTCAAAAGAAAAGAAAAGAAAAGAATAATAAAAAAAATAAAAAAATAAAAAACTTGACCAAAAAAATAAGGCCTTGTCCCTTTACAATTCCATTTGTTTAAAAAAAGATAATTTGTATCCTCAATCAAAGGGACATCAAGATCATGGTTTTATCCATGAAACTAAGTGGTTATGTTGACAATGTAACCACCCTATACAATTAGATCATTATACTTGACACTTGATGAATCTTGATAAACGTAAAATATCATAAGATTGTTCTTCATAAATTAAACATCTTTAGTTTTAGATTGATTTTAACTTCACGCTTAGCTCTAACTTGCAATAATTGTTATGGACTTAGTCTTGGTGTTTGTTCATCGCCATAAAGTAATTTATATTTTATTTAGTTAGTTTATAATTTTTTTATATTTTATTTAGTTAATTCACAAGTTTTTTGTACTAATCTTAATTTGGGTGACTTTTTTGTTTGTTTTTTTAATGGTGCTTGCCTGATAAACTTTTTTTAGGTAACTTTAAAAAAATTATTCATTTAATATTTTATTTCATTTGCTTATCAAATAATTTCACCTCGTTGTTATTATATCGACTCTTCAATATATGTCATAAATTATCAGTTATAAGTTTGAAATTCACTTACAATGATGTATCAGGTATGAAACTGTAATTTCAGCTAAATTTACATAATCCACTCTTATTTCAATTGATTACTTATCTATGATAACTAAAGATTTGTACAGCAAGCTCAAATTATTTTCGACTTATCTATAGAGCATGTTTATTTATGGAATTTTTTTTAAAAAACATTCAATATTTTAACTCAATCATTTTTTTTAACTCAACTTTAACTCAACCTCACTATCATCAAAATTATCAATATAATTATATAATATAAATTAATCATTCATACACATCACATCAACCATAATTCATTATTCATCCGCTCACACTATTTTAACTAAACATCACTTCAAATTTCTCTCCCCTACTTTTACAACAAACCAATTTTAATTATTTTATTATAAATATTATTTTAATATACCTACTAACAACTAACCATACCACCTTTTTCAAAATTAACCAAACCAAACCACAAAATCCAAACAAAACTAAAAATTTTTATAAACAAACATGATCGATCAGCTTTAAAATTAGCGCTTGTCTTATATTAGTACTGATAATTTGTCTAAAAAAAGTTTAAAATAATTGGGAATATTTAAAAATTAAAAACAAGACAAAATTTCAGAAATTCGAGACAAATAATTTACTCAAACTTGACCTATATGTTTTGAAAAAAAATAAAAACATTATATTTTAGATTCATCATTATTTTTTAAAATATTATTCTATGTAGAGTGGGAACTTAAAATTGGCTACCGACAGGAAAATTAAAGTTTATAGTTAAAAATACTATGAAGCGATGTCGGGTGTAAAATACATAGCTTAAAAATGGAAATTGCACGTTAATCCAACTTAATTAGAAACTACAAGAAACGACAATAATGTCTTATTTATTTTTATTAGCTGTTTGTGGGGAGTGGGGGACATTTTAAATAATCTGGTTCTTGTCCACAATCTATGTATGTTATTTCTGTATTGTCAGCAGCAGTTTTGCTATGAAACAATTGAATGGCTCGACTTATGGAGTTATCGACACTTATTCACCAATAATGTATTGAAACGTATCCTACAATAAATACATTTTGGACAGGTGTCAACATATTAAATGGTGGATGACTCTATAAAAAAATCATTTGATGGTTTTATAGAATTTTTGTTGTCAGCATAAAATTTGTGAATGAATATCAGTTGAATTTGGTTCAAATATTTGATAGTACTCAAGTTTGACAACACTTACCAAATAAATATGAAACATATTTAGCCCTCAAATTAATTCCCTAACCCAAGTGCTAAAATTTCCAAAATCACATAGATTGTTTTCAAATAAGCGTCAAATTATTATGGCGCAAAAGGAGGGATGGAAAAGTGTGTAGGACTAGGAATGCCTGGGCATGAGTCAATTAGCAAACAAATAAATATACAAATTGATCATGCTTTGGAACTTGGAAGTCAATAATATTTTCTTCTTCAAAATTTAGCTACCCCTACATGTTATTTTCTATTAATAACTGAAAAAATAAAACTAAGGTTTAATGTGTAGTTCAGATATCACTATCTGTTGAATGAGCAGATTGTATGATTAAATTTGTGGGAGCATATGAGAAAATTCTGGCATAAACCAACTTCTACTATCATATACATATCACCAATCACCATAAAATAATAATAATGATAATAATATTAATATAATAATAATAATAATAATAATAATAATAATAATAATAATAATAATAATAATAATAATAATAGTAATAGCAGTAATATTAAGGTAGTTAGGAATAATAATAGAGTTTGTAGGGTTGGGTGAGGAATATTTTTAGGTGCATATACATCTTTACATGCAATTAAGTGCAATAATAAAAGATAGATTACCGACAGATAGATTCCATAAGTCTTAAAAGTTAAAACAAATTTATTATATTACTCGGTTATTTTTACTTTTATATTAAACGAAAATTTGAACAGCAAACTAAAATCAGAAATGGTCAGAAATGGTCCCGGCGGGGCTCGAACCCGCGACCTTCGGCTCATAAGACCAACGCTCTAACCGACTGAGCTACGGGACCATTTCGTTCAACTGATGTAAGTGTACAATTAGTCTGTCTTTATCTATGAAAAATTGTAGCTGAAAAGAACCAAGATTCACATTCACTACGATTGGGAGAACACAATAAAAACTTTCTGAAAACTGAAACACAATATGCATACAGGTAGACAATGACTATGAAAAGTGCAATTCCAAACTAGTAAATGCCATGACCTTGATATTCACCCATTTATGCAACCTTCGTGCCGCCCCAATTTTCGACTCTTGCAACTAAAACACAATCGAAACATTACAGAAAATGGCAGGTGATCGCCTGTCCATTT